ACCAGTGGCTGCTGTGAGGTGACCCGGGTACACGGGTCTCCGGCCTGGGACTCCAGTTGCACCCCTCCACCCCCGCGTATACAGCAGCCACGTCCCTGCCCCTGTGGACCCTAGTACAACAGAACACTTTCAACACCACACGCCAAGCCGGACACAGCTGCAAGAGCAGCTGAAGTCCACACAAAGCCTCTCCCAACTCGGATTTGCATAAAGCAGGGAGGAGGGGTGGGAATGAAGCCGGCAGGGGCCATAGAGCACCCCCCCCCGCCCCCGCCAAGGACAGGGACATCAGCTGAGACGTGAAGCTCTGACTCCCGGGCCTCAGGACTGAAGTAAACGCTCACACCTTCCTTTCTGAGCCAGCAACAGTGAGAAGACGCTGACTGAACAGAAGCCAAGCCCAGGGCTGGCGGCTCCTCCTGCCCGCACCCGAGGAGCTGGCCCAAGGCACCGCGCTGCGCCACTCCCAGGAGGCTGTGAGCAGGAACCCAAGGGGGAGCCGGCCACCTCTGGGCCGTTTCACCCCAGCGGCCGTGGGCCTGTGTCCTGAGGCCGAGTATCTCTGCGCTCCTGGCCTCAGCCTGCTCCTGGGGACAGCGTCCACGTCTCAGATAGGCTGCCTCCGGCGTGACAGGGCTTGTCTGACACAGGTGCAGTGACACAGGGTCACGGAGAGGAGGGAGCAAAACGAAGAGGAAACGAGTGAGGTACGAATCCGGCCTCAGGAAACCTGTGAGCGCCCCCTTCCAAGCCCACGCACCGTGACCGTCCCTCACTTTCCAGCTGCCCCAGGTCACCCCACGGCCTGTTCGTCAGGCTCCCCAGTTCCGACCTTCCTCCCTGGAATCTACTCTCTACAACAAGCAGGAAGACTGACCCCTGCTGGACTGTAGGCAATGGCCCCAGGCCCCCAGGCAGCCCTCCAGCCTGCATCTAAACCAGAGTGAATCGAATGGCGGCCAGCAGCGCACCGTGGGGCCTGACCCGCCTTCACCTCCCTCACGGCCTGGCTCCTGCGCTCTGGGACACGTCAGGTACAGTCCCATCCCAAGCCCTCTGCCCAGGCTGCTGGCGCAGTGTGGACCAACCTGTCCGTCCACTGTCAGCTTCTCAATGAGGCCTTCTCCGACGACACCACTTAGAGCCGAAACCCCTCCCTGCCACTGCTAATCTCTCGACCCCCTGTCCCACAAAGCAAGTACGCATGCACACAAAGCACATACGTGTGCACACACACGCAGCACACGGCTTCCACGTGCCTTAATTCGCGTGCAGACCCTGATCATCTAAGCTTTGAGACAGAGACTTCTGCTGGGCTCCATTTGCCCGGCCCCCGGCTGTCACATGCCTGCACACGGGAGGGACAAGGAACACATGACAACCCTCACCTCAGCAGAGTCGCTGGCACAGAGAGCAGGGGGCTCTTCAGCTTCTGGAACTATCATGTGTCATTTTGTATCCCTAGATTTGGGCCATTCTTTTTTTCAATTAAATAATTATTTATTTAATTCCATTTATTTATCTATTTTTACAATTTGACCAGAGAGGGACAGAGAAAGAAAGGGAAGGCAAGAAAGCAAGCCGCCAGGTCCAAGGTCAGCCACGTGGGAGCTCAGCACCTTAACTACCACGCCACTTGCCAGCCCTGTGGGCCACTCTTAAATCAGGTCAACCCTCCGTCTCCCAGGGAGTTTCTCTTGGTGAACCGAGCCAATTACAACCTTGTCCGTCTGTCTTTTCACAGCCTGGCACCTAACAGTTGGTATAGGTATGCATCAATATCTCAATCACCCTCTCACCTCCTGACGGACAGGGTTGGACTTCCCCACAATTTTGAATTTCCGACAGCGAACACCTGTCTTTTCTGAGAGGGTACAATTTCTATACCTACCCAAATAAACTTCAAAGACTCACGGAGCAGTTACTCCACAAGCTACAAACTGGCGAAACTCACAGAGCCCTTCTCAACAGCCTCAAAGCATTTGTAACTTTTCATTGCCAAGGGTGCATGTGTTTGCCGGAGAGAGGGAGAGAGCATCCCCACTGGGGCGTGGTCGCGCCGCAGCCCCTTCTCCGCCAACGTGTCCACATTCGGGATTTGGGGCATGCATGTGCCCAGTGTGTTTCAAGCTGAAGGGCTGAGGTTCAAACTGTGGTCAGCTCCGAGGGATCTGGCTCCCTCAACTTCCAGGTCGCAGGGCAGGCCCTAGGGTTTTTAAAAAACAGCAGGCGGTGTGGTGGCTAAGGCACTGGACACTCTCACATGGCCAACCTCAGTTTGAGTTCTGGACCTGGTGACTTGCTTTCTCACTTGCCATCTCTCACTCTCTGGCTACATTAAAATAAATAAATGAATAAAAAAAAATAATTCTTAAAAAACAAAAACAAAAACGAACGCCTCAGTCAGTCGGGGCCTAAGCCCGGAGCCGGCTCTCACGGCAGGTGTGGCAGGTGTGCTGCCCGCCTGGCACCAAACGGCTACTCGTCTGGCACAAGGGGTGACCCACAGCCCGCTCAGCGGCCTCACAGGGACTGGAGTCGGAGCTCTTTATTATGCCGTCTCCCTGACAGACTCTGTAACTGCCACACCTGCCTCCCACCAGTATTAGCACTCAGTACAAAGAAAGGGCTACAATACAGCTACTAAGCAATAATTACAGCTCAATTCCTGCTATGGATGGAAGAGAAAAAAATCCATATCTTATTCTTAATTACTAAATACTTACGAGAACATCTAATTTCAAGTCATTAGAGAAAAAAAGAAACCTCATGCCTGGTTTGCAAAGTCTAAAAAAGGGTTTTTTATCTACTACTATTCAAGCAAAACCAAATGTTTAACTGAAAAAAAGCACTGTCCTACCCACTACCGACAGTGTAAAGATGAGCAGGAGTGCCCGAAGGCAAGCTGAGGTGGCCCACCTGGGAGGGCTCGGGAGCCAGGGCCAACGTGAGACATAACCCACCAAGCAGGAGATAAACAGAACTGAGCAAAGGGAGGTACGAGGTCCGGGCCCGGCACTTACAACCAGTGTGACCTCAACCTGCCCGCTCAGGCTCAGACTGGTTGGCAAGGAGGCATGGCCTGTCCCCGCCCCCCGGCTCTAGGCCTGGGCTACTGAGCGAGGCGATCCAAAGTGGTTGGTGTTTTCTTGCTCATGGATGGCTTCCTCAGCCCTTAGGAGGCCAGGTGACCAGGTCCACAGGAGCGCACTGCAGGGCCATGCCTACCGGGGTCCGCAAAGCCAAAAGTGGCTCGCACCCTACAGCAAAAACCTCAAAAAAAAAACCTGCACCCAAAATGGAGGCCACACGTCTTCTATGATCTAAACTGGAAATGGTGTCTGTCACTTCTGCTGTGTCCTCCCACGCAGACCAACCCTGGTTCTGTCGGAGGACGGGCAGGGCTCGGTGAAGACAGTGTCAGCATTAGGAGGCAGGATTGTTGGGGGCCAGCTTGGAGACTCGATCTCTGCCAGCGTGGGGGGTCCTCTGCACCTGAGAGCTCTGTGTGCAGTTCAGATGAGACTTCTCCAGTCTGCGAAGGCAGGGGATGGGCTCGCTCCCGGGGACGAGCGAAGCTACGACTGTGTGCTTTCACGTGTCTCCCTTTAAGTTGTCAGAAATCGACAACTTCTTCGGAAATGCGGAAGAACTCATGGTGGGTCTCACCGTGCTCCCCCTGCCTCGCCCTGCCAGCTAAGGGGGCATGAAGGCACATCACCCTGCCTGGCTTGGTCGTAGATGGGGACAAGCCACACTCCCTCCGGCACAGCCCCACGCGCCGTCCAGCCCGGCCTCTCAGATCTTGGTGGTGTGCGCCGCTGTGCCTGGGCCTGGAGGCGGCCCTGGATGTGGGCGAGCCGCTGTTGGCATGTAGACAGCAGTGGGCACGGCCCTACAGGTAGCATGTTGGTTAAAGGCACTGGATTCCCACATGGCAGACCACAGTTAGAGCGCCACTCACCCTGTGGTGAACGCATGTGCCCTGCAGCAAATTTAAATACATACATACATACAATTAAATTCTTCTTTAAAAAATAAGTAAAATAAATGGACTTTAGTCCATGTATAGAAAGTCACGATTTTCTTCTCTAGTCAATTAATTTAAAAAGTGTTCTAGGGACCAGCAGATGGCATAATGGTTATGTTACTGGACTCCCACATAGTCAACCACGGTTTGAGTCCTGGACCCAGGAACGTAAAACTCACGCTGGGTGCGCGTGCATGCCCAACACCCTGAGAGGAGAGTGGAGAAGGAACTGCAGTGTGGCCATCACCCCGGGGGGTGATTTCTCGCTTTCTGTCTCTCTCTGTGTCTCCGGAGAGCACACACTCCCTGTAGCAAAACTCTCTCTCTCTCTCTCTCAAAAAAAAAAAAAGTTTTCTGCAAAGAACTTGTTTATCCAACAATTACCTCAAGAAAACTGTATGCTCCTCTGCTTCTAACTTTCTTTCCATAGTTTCTTTCCTCATTTTTGGCCTTTTCCATAATTCTCTTAGTCCTGTTTGGGCCACATCCTAGCATCACAAGTTTCTGTCCCAGAACGAACTCTTAGGAGGCTCAGTGTAGACCGAGGTCCAGCTGCCACTCGGCTCCCAGGAGGATGAAGGGACAGTGAGAACGCCAAGGTCAGGTGTGAGCGGAAATCGCACAGAACTGGGCTCCTAACTCCAGGTGAGACGGCTCCTCCTCCCAACATTTAAACTGACGAGAAAGGGAAAGCTCTAGGTCCGGTAACGGATTTATACGGACTCTGCTGGTTAGGAACGGGTCCCGCCCATCGTTTGCTCCAGGAGGTGTGGAAGCGGGGTAGCTCCCCAGCGAACAAGTTCCTTTCACTCGTCCTCACTGGCCGATAACCCCTTTGGAAGCATAAAGCAAACAGGAAAAAAAAAGAGAAAAGACGGAAGATAGCCACGGAGACCAAGACGGTGGGCCACCGTTTTACGGAAGGGGCCGGGCTTAGCTGTGAAAACGCCCTGCAGAAATCCCTACTTACAGCCTCCTTCTCTCGGTCCATGATGGTTTCCAGCTCCTCGAAATGCCGGAGTTTGATCTCTAGTTTCTTCATTTGTGTCTCAACCAGGAGAGCTACGAGGGACTTGATCTTTCTCTCTTCCACGGCGGCCAGGTGCTGAGGGCGAAAGAGCATCCAAATTATTTGAATAAACTTTTGCTTTAAAAACTTTTGCTTAAGAAAACGCAGAGCTGCTACCAGATGGGGACAGTGTTGTCCGATGGCGCCCAGACGCCCCTGCTTTGTATGCTTCTACCAAACACGTATGTCACTAAAAGTAACAGCTGTCCTTGAACTCTGGTCCTTATAGAGATAATTAACCCTCTGAGAAGATTAAGGAAACTTCTTCCCAAACAAACTGCTATCCCTTCAAGGAGGGGAGGCTAAATGTAGGGCCCCAATGCGCCAAAAAAGAGGACAGGAGACTCGGAAGGACACTTCTCTACTCTCGCCCTCACTCCTACAGCTCGGCCCTTTCTCTGCCATCTGTTCTTCCCTACAGAATTTCGAAGGTCTGAGTATGGCAGGTGGCGTGGTGGTTAAGAGCACTGGACTCCCACATGGCTGACCACAGTTCGAGTCCTGGACTTGGCTTGCTTTCTCGTTTACTCTCTGTCCCTCTCTGGCATGCATGCGTGCATAAAGTTTAAAAAAAAATTCGAAGGGCAGGCAGGCAGGCAGGCAATGGTCTCCCCAGCATCTGACAGCCAGATACAAAGCTGTCAGGTGAGTAGACTGTGCTGAGAAAGGGCAGGGCAACACTGCATAGGTCTGAGGACCGAGTGCGGGGCCCGAAAGAACAAACTCAGCACCGGTCAGGAAGTTGCCACGGAAGAATGCAGACACAGCAGCTAAAAGGAAGGTGCCACAGGGCGACGACCTGCGAGGAGAGCTCTTCCCACCACCTCCAAACACTGCTCAGTATTCATTTCTGCTCTCTCTCGAACTCACGTGCAAATCTTGATCCTACACGGGCTCTAAGGAATAACATGGCGGGGGATGGCTAGTGGTATCATTTCTTTCTTTCTTTTTTTTTTTAAAGAGAGGCTTTTGCTATACGGCATGTGTACTTGCTGGAGAGACAAGAGGCAGAGAGACAGAAAGCGAGAAATCATCCCCGAGGGGCGGGGGGTGGTCATGCTGTAATCCCTTCTCCTTCAACTTCTCAGGATTTTGGGTGTGCATACACACGCCCCTGACTGAGTTTCAAGCCACTGGGTCTGGGACTTGGGAACTGCACCTGCCTACGTGGGAGTCTAGTGACATAGCCATTAGCCACCTGCTGGTTCTACAGCGTGGTGATTAAGGGACTAGACTCCCACATGGCCAATGGTGGGTCAAGTCCTAGATCTGCTGGTTAATTTTCTCACTTTCCTGTTTCTCTCGCTCTGTGTGTCCTTTTCTGGTCAAATTAAAAAATGTAAGTAAAATAATTCATTCTTAAAAGCAAACACAGCAACTGCCAGTAGAAGAGTAGTTAAGTGTTATGGATAGAAAACTGGGTCCCACGTGGCCAAGTGGGGTTTGAATCCCACCAGCAGGTGTAGGTACATGTGCAAGACCTCAGTCAGAAGGAGAAATGCAGCAAGGACAACTGCAGTGACTATGTCCCACCAGGGGTCTCTCTCTCTCTCTCACGTGACCCCTGGCAATAAGGAGAGGAGAGAAAAGAAACAGGAAGTCAGTCAGTCATGGTGTGGCTATCTTACAGAACCGTTTCCTACAGAATCAAAGAGCTAAAATGCAAGAAGTATTCGACATGGGTTTTGGGAGCTAAACAGACATAGCATGTAAGTGAGCGCCTTACTTTTCCCTCTTTCGAAAATGTCAAAGAGAAATGTATTGCAAGAACTACGGACACTCATCTGTAGGGAGATTCAGAAATGTAAGCAGAAGGTGACGACGAGAATGCTCCGGTCACCAGCGACCATGCCTTCATATACTACCCGGAGTCGTGCTGCACCGAGGACACCAAGGCTGGAATGACTGACACAGTCTTTTTTTCTTTGAGAGAGAGATTTTTGCTATAGGGTACGTGCGCTCGTTGGAGAGATGAGAAAGAAAGCAAGAAATCACACCCCAGGGCGGATGGCCACACTGGAATCCCTTCTCCATTCTCCTCTCGACATACACATGTGCCAGATCCAGACGTGAACTGTGGTTGACTACGTGCGAGTCCAGCCATGTAACCATTACGTCATCTTTTGGTCCCGACTGTCACACAGTTCTGTTATCACTGTACACTGGTATGAAGGGTACACACATGTATATATACTACATATGTGTTTATGTGTATATATAGTTTATGTTTGTGTGTCTATATATGCATAGTTTTTGTTTTTGTCATATGGCATGTGTGTTTGTCAGAGAGAGGAAAAGTAAGAAATCATCTCCCAGGGGGGTGGCCAGACAGCAATCCCTTCTCTTTTATTCTCCTCTTGGGACTTTTAGCAAGCATGTATATGTGCCCAGAGAATTTTCTAACTGTCAGGTCTGGGAGCTGAACCTTGGTTGGCCATGTGGGAATCCAGCACCTTGTCCACCATGCCACCTGCTGGCCCTAGCAATTAATATATTTAAACACATGATAAAAAATGGTAAGGTCACGGTTTATTGGTCCAGCCTTGTAGTCTGGCGGTTACAGCAAATGGATCCCACATGGCCAACTGTACAGTTCGAGTACCAATCCTGGCAGTTTAAAGAACACACTGGTACATGTATGTGGGATGATGAAATGAAGAAGGGGGGCCAGCAGGTGGTGTGGTGGTTGAGGCAGTGGATAACCCCACATGGCTGACCACAGTCCAAGTCCCGGACCTGGTTGCTTAAGTTTTCTCTCTTTTCCTCTCTCTCTCTCTCTCTCTCTCTCTGTGTCTCTCTGGTCAAATGAAAATAAATGAATGAATAAATAAAATTAAATAATTCTTAAAAAAAAAAAACAAAAAAAAAAAAAACAGAAAAAAGGAGAAGGGACTGCGGCATGACCCCTCCTGGTGGGGAGAGTGATCTCTCGCTTTCAGTCTCTGGTGATAGCACCGCACCACGTCTTAGAGCAAAAATGTCTCTCTCAAAAAACAATGGTGCCACGAGCTCAGAAAAGAATGACACAGCAGTGAAGATCTGTGAGTGAAAAGCTGTATGGAGTGGCTGGTCACACAGCTTCCACCCCCATTATTAAGTCATCTAGAGACGACTGAACACACGCGAGACTGTGTGACAGTGACGTGCAAATCCAATACCTCACCGCGTACAGGACTCCAGTACCTGGGGTCCTAGGACCAGTCACCCCCAGATCCTGAGAAGGATACTGGGTCGTCAGAAAAGCCATGATGCATTTTTGCTTAGGAAAACAGAAAAGTGTGTCACGACTTTTCTGACGACTGAGTATTAGTCATGCGAGGAGGAAAGTGAGCCAGGCTCGTGGCACGAGTAGACAGGCCCGTGTCCCTGTTGCCCCTCTGGCACACTACCGGGTGAAGACACAGCATCAAACAGCAACGTGCCCAGTGGAGATGGATGTCGGCAAACCTCGCCTAGAGTAAAGCCTTGTCACCAAAATGGACCGTGGCTATCGTCTCACCTACAGAAGCGCTTTCAGGCATACGAGGAGCAAATTACGACATCTTCTGAGGACTGGAAAGGACTCTTCCTGCTGCCCTCAGGCTAGCACCCCCCATCAGAACACAAACCTACGCTGGCCACTTAGGGTATGCAGCTGAGGGGTAGATTAGAGAACAAACGAGAAACAAGTGTCTATGGTTGTAAGAAAATGCACCGACTGCTGCTGAGACGAAGGGCCGAGCTCTGGTCCGCGCTTCCCAGACACGCACCAGCTCTGGGCCCCTGCAGGGGGGTCCTTACTAGTCGGCAAGCACAGGAGACATGGACGCAGGAGCTCCTGAGGAGCGAGAGCCAGAAGCTCTCGTCACCACACCATGCCAGAGGGTGACAATTACCCAGGAAAACGCTCAACAACAACGCTGTTTATAGACACAGAGAACAAGATGAGAGCAGAAGAGATGTGCATTGGCTAGATAAGCGAGAGTAATTACAGTGATTTACGCGAATTCCGTACCCGCTAACTGCCACGTGGCACAAAAGTACCGGTGTGTGCAGTGAGATGCACCGGATCCAGCCGCACGCGGTCTGAGCGGTGCGCCCAGTCACGGAGCACAAGCGCCTCACCACTTTCACCAGCCACGGGAGCACAGGTGTTTTGAAAAAGAAGATCAAGCTCCCAGTTATTACAAGGAAAAGTGACTGATGATGAGGGCGTGAGAGCCCCGTGACCTGGAAGGAGACCGCGCCTGGACACTCTCCTGAACTCCCCGTGGGACTGCGAAGGGCAGGGCCCGGCATGCAGAGCAGCAGGTTCTCCGCGGTGGACACTGGCTGCTGCCCAGGTCAGCAGCACCAGACAGACACGTTCTGTGCCCAACACATTTTGCTGCACACATTAGCAGCCATGGAGCCACAGAAAAGCACGAAGAATTCATGAACCTTCCTGGTCCACCCTTTTCGTTCCTTTCCAGGTGGCAGACTGACACACGGCGTAGGGGTATAGAGGAGGAAAATAGCAGGGAGGACGAGGGAGCGTGCCCTAGGGGGGAAGAGTGTTCAAAAGTTTAGCTGGTGAGAAAAGGAAGTGGATTCTGTTTACAAAACGCCAAGTTAACAGCGGAGAAAGGACAGGTTAAAGAGAGAGAGAGCGCGAGCTCCCGATTATAAAGAACTCCTGAACTCCCTGCTCGGGTTTCTGAAATTTTAGCCTGAGATAGGGAGGTTACTGAAGAAAGTTACAAGTCCATATTTACATTTTTAAGGATTCCTGAGCATATTGTAGGATTCCATTTACATAAAGTCAAAAATAGAACCGAATCCACGGTGTTAGAGAACAGCCCAGCAGTTACTCCGGGGGAAGGCGCAGTGACTGGAGGGCAACTGAGGAAGTTTCCACAGGGCTGGAAACATATTTTCTGAAGCGGGTGGGCTCAGATCACCGAGCTGTGGATGTACATGTTCGCGTACTGACATGGAAATTAAGCTTTAAGAAAGAGTTAACAAAACATCAACGAGAGCTTGGGACAGCTCCGAGACTAGACGTTTCAACACTCCAACCCTGTAAAACACAGAGGCTCACAAAGAACTTTCCAGACAAATGTGAAACGAGGGTCCCATAAGCTAGAGTGCACCTCACAACCTCCTTGAGTTGGCCGTGGAAGGGAAAAAAAAAATCTACAACGCGATGAAAGAACCCTGAAGCTCGGGAAGAGCCTGGCAGTAAGGACACTCACCTGGGGTCTGCTGGGCTGACTGAGAACTGGGGCCAAGGAACCCGCCTCCCTGCCAGTGCTGGACCCGTGTCAGAAGGGGGGCACACCAGCAGGGGCTGTGCAGTTTGAGCGAGTTCATCTATGGGTCCATGAAAAATCAGACCTCACACTCAGTCTGGGGGAATTAAAGACCGTGAAAAAGCACTCTGACTAATGGATCAAGAAAGAAGTGAGATAAAACGATGAGAAATGTTCTAGCAGTCACTGCTTCTTGAAATTTTGTAGCTTATAATGGAAGGAAACCGTGTATGTGGTAAAATGGAGAACGGATGAGAAGATTTTTAAAAACTTCACATATTCATGTTTGCAATGCTTTAAAATGCTAAATTAACACGAAGCAAGGAAAATAACATTCTCTTGTCTTCTTAAACATGCTATGCGGCCGATGCTGTGTTATAAATAGAAAAAACCACCCCCATGAAAGCTGGCAAGTTCAGGAAGAAAAAGAGTTATTTTAGGTTTCTCTCTCTCAGTCTGTAAGATCAGGCAAAGTATTACACAAAGGAACAGACTTTTATCTTTGAAGTAATAAATATTTCAATCTGGTCAAAATGATGGAGACAATAGTCCAAGACAAGCAGGCAAGTAAAAACCAAAAACCAAAGCAGTCCATGAAAGAGACTACAATCTGCCTTTAACCTCCGAAGTTTTCACGAGGCACAATGAGGGGATGAGAAAGCCACCCTTTGGGACCGGATCTGCTCACCACCACCCTCCCTCCTGCCTGTGTATTCCTTAACCTAGAAATGCCATTCAAGCGAGCAGTCAGCTCCTATGGGGAGCCGGGCTCTTCATACTAAATGCTCCCAATTAACGACAACAACGGACCATTCATGGCTCTGAGCACTGGAAAGGGGCTGTCGACCGACCTTGGCTTTGGTAGCAGCGGAGGCGAGAGCAGCTGCTGCGGCCGTGGCAACATTTCCTTCCGAGATTTCGTGCTCTACTTTCTTCTTCCCGATATCACTCTCTTTCTCTTTGCACGTGTCAGTGAGCTCCTTGTTCTCTTCCGTCCCCTTCTCTTCTGAAACGGTCAGAAGCGTCGTTCCCAGCGTGCCCAGGCTCGTTCCCACCTGGCCCTCACCTCTGCACACGGCCACATGACACGGGCCGGCCACAGAGCCCTGCCGAGCCACCTCGCCCATGTGCTACACCCCCACTCGTGAGCTATTCTCTAAACAGAATAATTCGTCGCCCGTTCATTTCTCTAAGCTGTGTGTGTAGTTCCCTCAAATGTAATGAAGGATCCGGGGGAACTAACCCTGGACCCGCCTAGCTGTCCATCAACGAAATGCTCTGGGAACTGTGACATGGAGGAGATCAGAGCCAAAACCCGAGACTGGCCCAGAGGGTGACGATGTCAGCAAGTGACACTGAATGGAAGGGCCAGTCTGCAGGTGACTGCAGGGATGCTGAGTAACCTCACCATCCACAACTACTGGAAACGTAGCCACTGGTACCAACTTGCTAAGTGAAAACTCAAACACATATTTATGGTGACATAAAAAACAAACCCGAAACAAACAAGGAACTGTATCTACGACAGTGCCTGCGTGAGCGGAGCATGCAAAGAAGGGAGAAGGCACCCTTCACTGCGTCCTGTCCTGTGGCAATCCCCTAGGCCCGGCCCTCCAGCTACTCAGAAGTGTAGGTGCCTGCATGCATGTGCTTGGCGTGTTTTCAGGTGGACTGGCAACCTGAACCCATGATGAGTCACAGGATGCAGCATGGCAGGGCACCTGCATTATCACTGCACCACGATGGCTGATGGCTGGTCAGGGAAGCGTTTCTACGCGAATGGCCCATATTCCTCTGGGGCCTCCTTGTTTTACATAATAAAATCGAAGGCGTTTCCTCCAATTACCTGATTTGGCATCCTCACTGACTTCACTATCCTGTTCCTTTTCACTATTTTTTTCATTTTCTCCATCTTGCACTTTGTCACTTTCATCTGTTTCATTTTCCACTTTATTTTCTGTCTGAAAAAAAGCAGAAAGGAAGAAGATGAGGAATGAGCAAAAAGCTGAGCCTTTTACCAGTGATACTATACTATCTTAGACTAACGGAACGTTTCACTTTTTGGGCAAGTAGACTAGGTTTGGAAGGGTCTTGTAGAGCAGAATTGAAAAAGAAATCAGCTCATTCGGAGAGACTTTTGCCACCTTGACCCTCGACAGCTGACAGGATCCCAGGCCTTGCAGGCATGGTGCCTGCTCTCTGCCCTGAAGGCCAGAGTCACAACATCCCAAGGAATGCCAGGGATCTCACTAAGGAGACAAATTCCCAATAAACAATTCACCGATCGGCTGTTTACAGGATGACACATACTTAAATTTCACCTCCTCACCAGGAAGTCAGATGAAATGCTGGAAGAAAGAGTGGACGAAGTCCTTTACCAGTCGTTTGCCGATGGTAAGGAAGAGCCCCAGGAGGGCATCGGCGTCCACGCTATGGGAGCTGGAAACTCATTTCTCAGGTCAACACCTGGTATCATTTCCTGATTTTGACATTTCTATAAAGTTCCCTCAACCTTGGACAAATTACTTAACACTGCCTACAAAATAGATTATAGGCCTAGACTGATGGTGCAGTCAGTAAGAAACTGAACAGCAGCCTGGAAGCCACAGGGCTGACCACGGATTCAGATCCTGGGTTGATCTGAAAACATGCAGGATACGCACACCTAGGGATGGACCGGGAAACCCAGGACCCCGAGGTGCTGTGGGGACACAGCGGCAGGAACACAGCTGCCCAGACTGTTCCTCTCCTGCCCTGCCCCCTTTCTCTCTCGTGCACAAGTGCTCTCTGTCATGAATAAACTAACCTTAAAAAAGAGGCTATCAATGACTTTCTAAGGCTACTAAATGAATTACGTGAAATCATAAAATCTCAAAGTACTAAGCAAGGCACTGGGAACCCTTAGGAACTGTAGCCGCCTCACTGAGACTGTCACCATTCCCTTACTGTTGTAAAAGGAAGGGCACACAGTCAGGGCCTGAGATCCCTGCCTACACTCACCCGTCCATAGGGCAACCGGCTGCTCAGTAACGGCCACAGCATGAGGAGTACAGAGGCCGTGAGGCCTGCCCTGCGCAGCCCCCCTGCACGCACGGTCTCTTACCCTACGAGGGCTAGGCCACTCCCACGTGGGCACTTGGACAGAGCACACTGAGCGTTTCTAACTCGACTCCCTCTCCTCTAGCTCAATCTTTGTGCTCCCTTGCTCTTTAAAATCTACCTCAAATGTCAGCTTATTCTTTCCTGAATATTCTGCTGCAGTTAACCCTCTTAGAAAAATCACTTAATATTCTGTAATTCTCTCTGGCACAAGTGCAGGACCTAAACCCCACAATTCCATATTCACAAGAACCACAATGTTTGTATTCAAATTTCCAACTGCGCCTGAAAGGAGTCTGAAGAGGACAGGGAGTGGATAAATCTTCACCGAATGAACAAATGGAAAACGTCCTCCGGTTTCTGAGAATTATACCTCAAACCAGCAAAGTACTAGTGGCTGATAAAACTATATATAACCCCTAAGAGGGGCTCAGAAAAGATCAGCAAAGCGAAAACCATGAGGCCCTGACAGGATGTCATCTGCGGCCTTTCTGCTGTGCGTAATCCCGGGGAACATTTACCTTCTCAGGCTGCCGCCCATCAGCATCTGCTTCCACTTTTCCTTCTTCAGCTCCTTCTGGTAAAAGAGCAACAAGTAACTAAACAGCATAAAAAGGTAAGAAGGTAAAGGCTCTTCCACAGCGGTGAGATGTCTGAAATACAGCCGTGCACAGCAGTGTCTATGAATCCCACAGCCACAGACAGGGTTAAGCCAGACAGAAAAACCCCATACATTTTAGTGCAAAGCTCAAAAACAGCTGAAAGTAACCAATGTTGTTAGAAGTCAGAACAGTGGCGGGGCCGGCAGGTGGCATGGTGGTTAGGGGCGCTGGACTCCCACATGGCTGAGCACGTTTGAGTCCCGGACCTGGCGGCTTGATTTCTCACTTTAACTCACTCTCTCATTCTGTCCCTTTCTGGTCAAATTTAAAAATAAATAAATAAAGTTAAATAATTTTTTTTTTTGGAGAGATTTTCACTGTAGGGCGCGTGTGCTCGCCAGACGGACAGAGAAAGACATAGAGACAGAAAGCGAGAAATCACCCCCCAGGGGGGATGGTCACCCCGCAATCCCTTCTCCTCCATTCTCCTCTCGGGATCTTGGGCACGCACGCACACGTGCCCGGTGTGAGTTTTAAGCCACCGGGTCTGGGACGCGAACCGCGGTCGACTACATGTGAGTCCAGCGACATAGCCATTACGCTAACTGCTGGTTCCCAAGTTAAATAATTCTTAAAAAAAAAAAAAAGAGGGAGAAAAAGAAAAGAAATCAGGACAGTGGCCAGCCAGGGAGGGGCGTAGTCAGGAGCATCCCAGAGTACCAGTGGTGCTCGCGTTCTCGGGCTGCAGCTGCTCACACAAATGCGCTTATCTGTGCACATGGAATAGGTTGCACACAAGAGTTTCGATGTTCTCTGTGTATAAAAACTTCAGTTCTGGGGCTAGCTGGTGACATGGTGTGTAAGGCAGCTGGATCCTCTATGGCCAACTGCATGGTTCAAGCCCCAGAACCAGTGGCTTGAGAAGACATGCAGGGCACGTGTGTGTGCAGGCATGTCCTAAGTCCCCAGAGCAGACCTGAGCAGGGACGCAGCATGTTCATCTGCCCTCGGGGTGCTTTCTTACTTTCTCGTCCCACCTCCCCCTGTCTCTGTCTGCCTCCAGCAAGTGCACACAACCTATAGAACATTTTTTAAAAACTCACAAGTAAACATTTTTTAAAATTCAAAAATATTTACAATAATTCATTATCATCTAAGGGGCACTTAAAAAGCACATTTTTTGAATCGGATGCTGAGCCAGGTACTCACCAAAACCTCAAGAGCCTCACATGCAGGCTACAGAGCCCACCATGGCAGCAGCGACACACGCCAGAGCGGCGAGAAGCAGCGGGGCCGCCTGGCTCAGGACACACATAAGGACAAGAGGCTTTCCTAGGCAGACATGGTTATGGGAACACAGTCGACCATGTGGGATCTGGCTGCCTCCATCACCATGCCCCTGGCTGGCCCTTAATTCACTGTAAGTGTGTATCATTCTTATTTCCTTTTTCATGTTCATGGTAACATAAAATGCATTTAAAAAATAAGTTATTGGGTGATAAAGCCCCTATTTCTCTAGCTTTTGAGGATGAAAAATGCTGTTTTCAGAACGACGGCAGGTGGAGGTAGTGCGTGCAGAGAAGGGCAGTCCGATGAGACAAAGAACAGCGCAGGGAGACTCAGGCCAACAGGTGAGGAAACTGGAGGGACAGCCGCGGTCAGGGCTGCGTGACCAAGAGCGCGGGCTCAGAAGTCTCAGTTACGGCCTCAGAGAACTCAATGAGAATACTTAACCCCCTCACACACACACATAAAGAGCTTTGGTTTTGAACTTTACACAAGAACAAGCATCTTAAAAGTAATGAGGCTTTGTTGTGCTTGTAAACAGCGAGGCTCAAATATCCTTTGGCCTAAAAGTTTGTATTATCCTCTTCTGAAAAACAGTACTTACCCTCAATGAGTATTTAAACAGACGTTTAAAATGGCAGTGTTACAGTTGCTGCATGGGGCTGAGGGGGGCAGACGGCGGTGCAGTGGCAAATGCCAGCAGACATGACACTGCAAGGCTGGTCCCGAAGGGAAGCTCCCGGTCCACGCCCGGAAACCGTCCTGCGTGCCATGCACATGGGCGCCATGACCGTGGCAGGCAGAAGTGGGAGTGGACTGCGCTGAGAGCCCACTGAGGACGCCTCTCTCTGTCTCTTACTTGTCAGCCTGAAATAATGAAGTCTGACTGGAGCTTGCCGAGTAAGCTCCGACCTCACACGCTTCTCTGAGGCCAGCTCTCACCCCGACGTCCTCATTCTTAGCCTGTTCTCCTCTCAAGAACTTACACTGCCTAACCTTCTTTTACCACGGCTCTTCTTGGGCTTCTGTGACTACAACTTCCATGTCTTAAGCTAGTTCACAGGCCAGAAAGCTCAAGCTAGTCTTCAGAGAGCTTCTTCTGCATTCTCCACGAGCTGTGCCCAGGTAACACTGCAAGATCACGTACCTCAAGGCCTGTCTAACGGAGGTATATCTATATTTGTTTTAGTTTTGCTACAGGGCATGTGCACTCGCCAGACATGGACGGAGAGAAAAATCATCCTCCAGGAGGGATGGCCACGCCACAATCCCTTCTTCTCCATTCTTCCTCTGGGTATTTTGGGCATGTGTACACATGTGTCCGGTATATTTTTTAAGTTGCTGGATCCAGGACTCAAACCACGCAGTCGGCCATGTGGGATCCAGCTGCCTCCATCACCATGCCACTGGCTGGCCCTTAATTCATTTTAAGTGTGTATTATTATTATTTTTTCACATTCATGGTAGAAATTAACTTAAAAAATAAGTTATTGAATGATAAAGTCCCTATTTCTCTAGTTTTTGAGGATGAAAAATGCTGTTTTCAGAATGATGGTTGACTAGGCGCTCTAATAGGACATCACGAATCTCCCCTCCCCTAAGAGGGAAGAGCCTCCGAGGAGCACCTCCCCAGAGCTGGTCAAGGCCTGCATTACCAGGAGAGGAACCGGAAACCAGAAAAGCCAGGGCCGAGACCTAGGCGTCGGTCAGTCTGAAGGGGTAGAGTCACCAGGACAGAGCAAGGCAGCCTGGGATCCCTGCACAGAGCAGGCCATGGGGACATCACAGTCCTAAGCCAGTGGCAACCCCTGGTCACTGTAGGAAGTGGATAAAAGCCCTCTGCAGGTCAGTTTTTTAAATCCCAACTTAATCTAAAAGGACGTCCAAGCAATGTACACAGAGCCAGCACTGAGAAGGGAGGCCCCTAAGACTGGGAGGGGACAGTACTCAGCAGATCGATGACCCAGGGGTGCAAGCAGGACACCTGGCAGACACTCGGTGCAGAACAATCACAGACAAACATGTCAACAAATAACAGGAAGGATCGCAAGCACGACCAATCAGAGGACGCGAGAGTTAAAAAATAATCAAGGCTAGCAGGTGGCATAGTGGCTAAGGCACTGGACTCCCACATGACCAAGTGCAGTTCAAGTCTAAGACCTGGCAGCTTTCTTACTTTCTCTCTCACTCTCTGGTGAGCACATGTGCTCTATAGCAAAATTTTTAAAAGTAATAATAACTAAAATTAAATATAAAATGAGCCAGCAGGTGGCATGGTGGTTAAAGCACTGGACTCTCACATAGCCAACTTTGGTTAGTCTTGAACCCAAAGGCTTGAAAATGTCAGGTGCATGTGCATGCATACCCAAAATCCTGAGAGGAGAATGGAAGAGAAAGGATTACAACGTGGCCAGTCTTTGTGGGGAGTGATTTCTCACCTGCGTGCTCGCTTGCATGAGTGTAGGCACACGCGCGCTCACACTCTCTCTCTCTCCAGTGAGTGCATGCACCCCTATGGCAAAACCTATTAAATAAACAAACAAACAAAAAATCCTAAGATTGAGCTGACTCTGTGGCCTAGTGGTTGAGGAAGCTGGATTCCACATGGCTGATCATGGTTTGAATCCCAGCTATGCCGAGTTTGAGGAATATGACAGGTGTGTGTGTGCACGTGCACGTGTCCAGGGTCCCAGTGGGATGGAAGGGTGAAGGAAGGGACTGCGCTGTGACTGTGCCCTATTGGGAGGTGATTTCTCCAATTCTCTGTCTCTCTGGCAAGTGCATGTATCCTCTGGCAAATGGCAGATAAATAATCAGAATATCAAACAAACTGAATGAAGGAAGAGTTAAAGAACTGGAAATATATCTAAAAAATTATTCACAGAATAGAAATATGAAACATATAAACGCAGTGAAAAAGACATGCCAGGGGGCTGGCAGGTGATAAGGTAGTTAAGGACGCTGGACTCTCACATGGCCGACTGTGGTTCGATTCTAGGACCTGGTGGCTTACTTTCTCACTTTTCCTCTCTCTCACTCTGTCCCTCTCTGGTCAAAGTTGCAATATAAATAAATAAATAAACTTATATGAAATAATTATTTAAAGATATATATTATATATATGCCAGGGCACAATTCCAAGTCCTGGACCTGACAGCTTGAGAAATAGGCTGGATGCATGTGTGCACACCCCAATCCCTGAGGCACAAAAACGCAAATGGGTACGTGCTCTTGGGAGACAGGACTGCCTACAATACTGCTTCCCATAAGACTACTCCACAAGAGAGACGAAAAGGTGAGCAAGAATGCCCGAGGTTCACCGTCTCAGAGTGTTCCATACACTTCCTTTCCAGGAGAAATGGGCCTGACGAAGCGCTGACGAGGCCAATGCACCGCGAGTGCAGTGGTACGGACTTGTGCACACCAGCCAGTCCGCCAGCTGCACTTCTGAGAAACGCTGCATCTACAAGGCCGTCTGCGGGCACCGCGGGCCACACACAAGACAGTGTGTGCGGGTCAGAGAGCACAGGGAATCCGCATGCACCGCGAGCCATACAAGACGGTGCGTGCGGGTCGGATAGCACAGGGAAT